GACTTGCACCACAGTAACCCATCTGTGGAGTTTCCAGGTGGATAAAATCTGATTCACCAAAAGGTGCTGCATACCCAGCTGCTAAATCAGGGTGAACACAAAGGGTTTATTTTCACTCATTCCAAGGGGAGCTAACTGGAACTACAAAGGAGCCTCTTCATAGCTTAAGGCAGTCGACATACCCTTTTCTCCCCCTCATCCCCCGCTGCCCAAGAGATAAGTCTCTTCAGGCCTAACTGGTTCAGATAAAACAGCTTTCAAGCTCCAGCCAATTTTTTCCCCATTAAAAGCTGGAGATCTTCTGCCATTCCTCAACAGCCTTATCTGAATTGGATTCTCTCTCCAAATCCCATTGCTCTGTGCAGTTGTAGCAGGCTGGCAGATAAACAAAAGTCTGGGGGTTCAATCTCTCCTCAGAGCACACTGCACTGTCTGTTTATCAAACCACGCCACGGAACTACAGGTTTCAGCCAAATTTCAAAAGGAGGCATCACAGTGCACTGACTACTCATATATATGACTCCCCACTTTTTGTATGTGAGCTAAATCACCTTGAAGCTGGAGCACAGAGGCTCCATCACATCGCTCCAAGTAGATGAAGGGCGTTCATTCCATGAACAACAAAAAAGGCTGCTGTTCTAGACATGGTCCCACATAGCCAGCACGAATCCTGACTCCTTCCGTGACATGCAGCAAGGGCTTAATGAAACAATCCTGTTCCCAGTTTTTTACTGTTATGTGTATTGGGAGGTTTTATGATGGAGAATTTTAAGCTGAAGGACATTCACTGGAGGACACAGATGGCAGCATGAACATGTCCAATGCTGGAAAATCAACACACAGGGCATTTGACTTATTCCTGCTTTGCATAAACTCCTACAGCTCTGCCAGCATGGCAGAGCTAAGGTGATGTAAAGCCTTAGCTGCAGTGACCTTTTTGCATTATTGATACAAACCTTACGTACAATTCCATTTTTGCATTAGCTGATGTAACCACATCCTGATAGGAACGAAGCGGCAGCAAGTACCCCATTCTGGAGAGTCTCCTTCAGAGAACGCCACCCTGCCAGATTTCATACTGCAAAATCCAAATCCAGTTATTCATCAAGTAACAAACAGAAATGCAAGGATATTTATACGTACGAGTGTTTCACTATATGTATACCTATACAGACAGATTAGTCTAAGCAATCAGATTGTGATTGTAAAGTCACTGCGCCGTAGTCAGAGTGGAGGGGAGCCCTCGCTCCCCGGGCATCGCCGCCCGAGCCAGCAGGTCTACAAAGAGAGATGTGACCAGCAGGGGACCCTCATTCCGCATAACCAAGCCGCCCTGGAGCCGTGGGCACTCAAACCGGGGCTT